CCACAGAGCACAGGCCTGTGTGACCAGCACTCAAGAGGAGGATCCAAAGTTCAAGGCCAGCCTGAGCTCCACAGTAAGTTATCTCAAAATAAATAAATAAAAAACAGCCAGTGAAGTCCTAAAGTCACTTCAGGTAGGAATAGAAGGGAAATGAAACTCAGGAGAGGAGATGTCCCCGGGTCAGGTGGCCCCCAGCCCTGTACTCTGCTCGCGCTCCCACTCACCCAGGATGTCCAGCCACTCTTCAGGGGCTGGGGCTGGGGCTGGCTCAGGTTCTGTGGCTGCCAGGAACTCCCGAGCCAGGGCTCCTGGCTGCTCAGTCTCCTCCACTGTCAGCTGTCCCATATCCTCTAGTGGTGGCAGCCCACTGAGGTCATCTTCTTCCTCCTCTTCTTCCTCTTCCCCATCTGCATCTTCTACCCCATCAAGCACCTCAAAGTCCTCCAATGGTGGGACCCCAGCAGGTGGCCGAGCAGCGGGCTCAGAGGGCTCGGCCCAGGACGCCATGCTGCTGGGGGGACCAGGAACTGACCCTAGGGGACAGACAGTCAAGCACTACAGTGACAACCCCATCTAGGCAGCCCCTTTAATGCCCTCAGCAACAGTTCTTCCTGCGGGACACCACCACCAGGGCTTGCATTTCTCATCTACACACTGGGCACCCTACCAACACACAGACCTCAAGTTCCGAGCCACAGGCTGCAGATGGGCTGGCTGTTATTAGAACTAATTACCATATAATCTTTATAAACACCCAAAAAGTAGGGAAAACCTAGCTTACACACTTATACACACACGTGCACACACACAGAACAGAACGGGCACAGAAAGGCAAAGCCACTTGGCCAAGGTCACACAAGCCAAGACAGAAAAGTAAGGTTATTGGAATGAATAATAAGAAAAAGTTGCTAGGGTTTGGGGATGGTGGGGATAGTCTAGTCCCTGAGCCCTTGGGACAGTCATCTTTACAGCTTCTGTGTCACTTGAGAGAGTCTTGCCTCTGGCTATCTTGTCTGCTAAAAGGATCAATGCCAGATGCTGGATGTCTTTGGTCTGTACCCTGAGGATACCTCTAGCAACATCAGGGACCCTGGTTCCAATCTGCCTCTATCATCAAGTCTGCTTCCAGGTTTTAATCACGGTAGGGTACTGGGGAGGTAGGTTAGCCTATAGGGCACTTGTCTATCAAGCACAAAACCCCGAGTTCTATCCCCAGGCACCACAGAAGCCACGCATCGACAAAGGCCTGTCATCCCATTGGGAGGCGGAAGCAGGGTGGTCAGAATTCAAGGCCAAGGAATTCAATGACTACGTGAAACCCCGCCTCAAGAAATCTAAAATGTGCGCTAGGGTTGTAATTCGTTGATAGAGCGCTCTACTAGCGGGCACGCTTTAGGCTCAGCACCCCATAAACCTGGTGTGCCAATGCATGCCTGCCATCCCAATTCTTGAAAGGTACAGACAAAAGATCTAGAGTTCAAGGCCAGCCTGAGATACAGTCACTTTGGAGTCTAGCGTAGAATACGTGAGACTGTCTCAAAAAAATAAAGGCAAGAGTAGTGTGGACCCCAATACGGAATCTTGCAGCGTCTCCCTGGCCCCAGGCCTCTCTGCGGAGCCCCTCAGCCCGGCAGCAGCACCGACTTACAGTCAGGTCCACTCCCTAAGCCCCAGGAAGCCCCGGAGCCCCGCGGCCCTACCCAGCGACCCTCACCTGCGGGGTTCCTTCCGGGATCCGGCCGCGACCGGAGACCCTCCCGCCCCGAGCCCCCACAATGCCCCGCGCGCCCCGCACCCCAACGCGGTCCCGCGCCCAGCCGACACCACCGCCCCGTGATGCCGCGGCCCCTGCAGCCCTGGAAGGCCCCGGATGCAGCCTCGGCTTCCGCGCTGCGCCCCGCCACACGTGCCTGCGGCTCGGGGACCCCGCTTGGGGTCCTGCGCCCCCAGCCGCGGCCGCCGCGCCTCGGGAAGCAGCTTCAGACGCGCCGCCCCGCCCCCGGCGCGCCCATTGGCTGGTCACGCCGCGGCCGCCCCGCCCATTGGCTTGTGCGCACATC